ACTCTGTTTTTGACCATCCACATATGGATGGAGAGATAATTTGATAAGGAAGCCAATCCAAGTGGTCTCACATCAAAAGCTATTCGGAATCAATGGGAATCGTGGTCATAAGTCAGCATCCAGAATCTGCCAGGGTGCTGTGACACCGTCTTTTGGTCCGTTGGACCATGTATCGTGTTTGGGCCCATTAGGGGCGCGTCCAGGGGTCTTGCATGACCCTAGAGTCTTCATAAACAGCTGCCACCCATCCATTAGGGTTTGGGGTTTTGTTTAGTTCTTGATTTCCTTGTGAAACAGACGTTGTTTTGCTGCAACTGTGCCGCCAAGGCTGCTTGTTGTGAACTAGGGCCCCAGTTCTTGATCTTGTTCGCCTGTGGCGATTAGTCCTTTCGAATAAAGACTTGAACTCCTTTTTGTTATCATAAGCCTCATATTTATTTGCAATTTCAGATTGCGTTCATCCTGTTCTTGCTTGTGTTCTCGATTCGTTTGTAGGAAAGCCTTCTCGACGAGGTCAATCACGTTTGCGTGGTTGATAACCAACGGAGCAGTGGTGTAACGGTTGTGAGGGTCCAAATCAGTCTTGGTTCGAAGCCTAAATCATGAACGTGGAGTCTCCATCAATCGACGCTATCATACCTTTCGGAAGATCAGGCCTAGTCTACATCAATCATCACCACTACTATCATCATCATTTGATACCTTTTGTTCACCCTTGGCCATAAGGCATAGGTGTGTGGAGGATGATGGTGGTGGTGTCGGTGAAGATGATGAAGAGTCAATGACAATAGCGGCCACCTTCTCGTTGTCACTATCATCATCGGATGAGCAACTTGATGAATCAATGTCCGTGAGCCAATCACCGACGATGTAAGCCTTGCCATTTCTCTTCTTCTTATGGAAATCCTTCTTCTTGCCATCCTTCTTCTTGTATGGCTTGTTTTTCTTCTTCTCATCTTCATCTTCATTACTTGAGTCATCTTTCTTGCCCTTGTTCTTGTTCTTGTACTTGTCTTTGGCTTAGGGCATTGATGAGATAGATGACCAAGTTCTCTATAATTGTATCAATCCATCTCTGAGATTGGCTTCCTTCTATTGCTAGTGAAAAACTTCTTTTTCTTGCCATCAAACTTGATGCCATTTTTGTTGAGCTTCTTTAGCATCTTGGCGGTTCTTCTTACCACGAGAGCAAGACTTGCATCATCAATTTCATCATCACTTGAGCTCTCATACTCAATTCTTACTTTGCCCTTCTCTTGGCTAGCCTTGAATGCCAAGTCCTTGTCTTTCTTCTTGGTAGAGGATGAGCCATCTTGTGGTGTGATGTGCATGTACATCTCATGAGCGTTGATCTTTCCCAAGATTTGAGTTGGTGTAGCGGTGGAAAGATCACCTTGATGAAGCACGGTTACAATATGCCCATATTTATCAATGGGGAGGACACTCAAGATTTTTCTTACAACATCGGATTTTTGTATTTGTGTAAGTCCAAGCCCATTGACTTTCTCTACGAGAACATTTAAGCGTGAGTACATTTTATTAGCGCTTTCTTTCGGAAGCATCTCAAATGAATTAAGCTTTTTCATAACAAGATGATAGCATTCCTTACACTCGCTCTTAGTTCCCTCATGGAGTGCATAAATATCCGACCATAGTGCATGGGCGTCCTTATGGTTCTCCACCCGGTTAAACACATCTTTACAAAGGCCACTAAAGATGGTGTTTCTAGCCTTTGCATTCCATTTTTTGTAATTCACTTCATCGCCTTGAAGGTGCGTGGAATCCGTAGGTTTTGGGAAACCTTGAGAAGCGGCTCTAAGAATTCCAACATCTAGGGCTTCTAAATACGCCTCCATGCGGATTTTCTAATAAGAAAAATCATCTCCCTCAAAGATAGGAGGAGGTCCATCCCCTTGGGACATCTTTCTCTAGGCTGTTAAGCCTAAATACGTGAGCACGAGGCTCTGATACCAATTGAAAGGATCAAGATGCCCAAGAGGGGAGGGGGTGAATTGGGCTAATTCTAAATTTTTTTGCAATAATTAAACCATACACTTAGCCCACTTCACCCCTTGTGCCTAGAATGTGATTCTAATAATCTACCGCACAAAAGTTTAGCACCCTAAGTTCCAATCCTACTCTAGCATGGCAATTCTAGGAATGTAAAGACAAAAATTAAATTGCTTAAAAGTAAATGCTCAAAGTAAAGAGAGGAGAAGGAACGCGACGATGTTTTGCCGAGGTATCGGAGAGTCACCACTCTCCACTAGTCCTCGTTGGAGCACCTGCGCAAGGGTGTAGCTCCCTCTTGATCCGCGCAAGGATCAAGTGCTCTCTATGGGTTGATTCTTTGACATTCCGTCGTGGTGAATCACCCACAACCGCTCACAACTTGAGTTGGGTCATCCACAAGCTCCGCCAGATGATCACCAAACTCTTGATCACCACCAAGCCGTCTAGGTGATGGCGATCACCAAGAGTAACAAGCACAAACTCTCACTTGACCACGACAAGCATAATGAGAACGGTGGATGCACACTTGCTACTCTCCTTGCACTAATGAGGCCTTAATCTTGGATTCTCAAATCTCAATCACCTCACTAGGGTCTTGCTCTCCTAAGCTACCTAGTGCTAGATTTAACAAGTGTGCACCACACCTAACCCACTAGACTTACCTAGGTCAAGCTACTAGTCCATACCCCCTTAATAGTACGGACAAAGGAAAAACAAAGTCCTAAACTACTCTAAGTGTCTCTTCAACACCAAACGACACTTAGAACTAGTCCATCCTTAACCTTGTCGTCCATCCTTTGAAAACTGAAAGGATTTCCATCGTAGGGGCATGACAGCCATGATTGCCCAATCAATTGCCATTACCATGACCTAACTTAATTGCCTCTGCAAAACACACCTTAGTTATAGTAATCTCATATTGTCATTAATCACCGAAACCCAACTAGGGGTCTAGATGCTTTCACGCAGCACAGTGGCATGGGGAAGAGATGAATTCTCTGTACCGAGGACGACGTCTCGTCTTAATATATACACACGTCACGTCACAGCTAAGTAATTAGTCGCGCAATCACAGCATTAAATCACCATTAATGCGAGAATAATTGCCTGCCAAAATAGGCCAGCGCAATTTTCTCCATGCATGCAAAAATATAGAGTAGCAAAAGAAAGCCACACACCCGCAAGGTCGAGGCGAGAAATCGCCAGACCATCCCTGCACATGTCGCACGCCCACGTCCTGCCCGGCCCGGCGAGGCGAGTGAGCGCGCGCATGAATTTCTTCCTCTTCCTCTCTCCAATAGCTTCAACTAGGAGACAACTCAGTCATTTAAGTTGGCATCATTTTTTCTAGAGTAGCAATGTGGGACTAAAGTCCTCCACCATACCATGCATATGTGAATGGGCCTTTGGGGTTTATTTAGGAATATTATTTGCGCCAGCCCAAACCTTCTAACATTTATTGCTGTGAATACCTGCTGCTAGTAATTTTAAAGTGCATGAATGGGCCCTTGCTGGCCACCATTCACATCTCTGAAACTTGTTTCCTGGTGCCGGAGACCATAATTGTAAGCTGCTGCTACTATTCAATATTTCAATAGAATCAATTGTTGTATTGAAGAGAGAGAGAGATAGTTAAATTGTGAAGCCAAAAACAGATCATTCGATGTTGAAAATTTTTTGTACCGTGAAAGGTTGGAACAAAATTTTTGGGCATCACAAACGTGTCCTCATGAGTCAGGAGATCTGAGCATAGAGACGGCAATGAGAGGCAGAGATAGCAACTGTCGTGCAATTAGTAAGCTTAGTGTGCAGCCCACTTCTGCACAGGACATATACTTATGAATAAACTTTATTTATAACATACTCCCTCATATTCATTATTCCAAATTATAATACATTTTATTTTTTCTAGATACATAGTTTTTGCTATGCATTTAAATATACAACATGTCTAGATATATAGTAAAAGTAATGTAACTAAGAAATTAAGCCAAAACGTCTTATAATTTAGAAAAGAATAGTTGATATTTGACGCGAGCCAATCATCCTCTCTGTCATGGATGGATGAGGATATGTTGTAACCTACCGAACACAGCTGAAGATGACTCATGCATGCAGGTGATAACAGCACCGGTGCGGTGTTTGGCCCAATCGTTCTCCCTTCTCATGAATGCCCAATTAAACTAGCTAGTAACATGGCCAAATTGCACTGCTACAATTAGCTAGCGTGCTTAGTGTGCAGCCCACTTCTGCACTGCACATACGTACAAATAAACTTTATATATACCATAGTTAATTAATTAACATTTTTAACGAGCCAATCATCCTCTCTATCATGGATGGTTGATGAGGATTTGTTGTAACCTACCGAACACAGCTGACGAGATGACTCATGCAGGTGATAGCATACATCACAACAGCACCAGTGTGGTGTTTGGCCCAGTCGGCTGTTCTCCCTTGTCGTGCATGCCCAATTAAAACGTGGCCAAAATGCATTGCTACATATAAACCTGCGCACCCGGGGAGACTTAGTCAATTGTGTAGTGTAGCCATGAGGGGTGTCTTCTCCACACCACCAATGGCAATAATCCCCCTGCTGCTGGCAGCAGGAAGCAGCAGCACTGGCCCTGCAGCAGCAGATGCTTCGTCGTGTCCCTTCTCCTGGTCCTGGTAGCTCTCGTAGCTTCGGACGTGTATCTCAGCTTCCCAAACCGATGGAACCTTCTTCCGTTATTCCCCCAGCCGCTGTTGTCTCGCAGATCCAGCAGACAGCGAGGAGGCGGTGAGGGCGGCGGCTGTGACATTTTCAGGGGCGAGTGGGTGCCGGACCCGGACGCGCCCTACTACACCAACGACACCTGCAAGGTGATCCACGAGCACTACGACTGCATGAGGTACGGCAAGCCAGACCTGGGCTTCGTCAACTGGCGGTGGCGGCCTGACGGCTGTGCGACCTGCCCGGCTTCAACCCATGGCGCTTCCTCCACATGACGAGGGGCAAGTCCCTTGCCTTCGTGGGGGACTCCCTCGGCAGGAACCAAAAGGACTCGCTCATCTGCCTCTTGACCACAGCGAGTTCATTCGTTGATCTCGATCCATCGATCTCGAAAAAGGTCATCGCCGATGCGGCGCTAGTAGCTACCTAGCTGTGTTGAGATCATGATCATGCATGCATGTGATGCAGGCCGCGGAGCCTACGACAACGAGGTGGCTTAGCAGCAAGCACACCGTGTACTACTACGGCGAGTACAACTTCACCGTGTCCCACTTCTGGGCGGGCGCCGTACCTCGGCACGAGCAGATCGACGAGGACGGGCCAGCACACACGGGCGTCTGGAACCTCTACCTCGACGAGCCGGACGACGTGTGAGCGGCGCACGTCGCGGAGTTCGACTACGTCGTCGTGTCGGCGTCGAGCTGGTTCTACCGCCCGTCCATGCTGTACGAGTCCGGGCGGCTCGTCGGCTGCCACTACTGCAAGCTGCCCAACGTGACCGACCTCACGCTGCGCTACGCGCTGCGCATGGCCACGCGGGCCGCGCTGCGGGCGCTGTCCGGTGCCGACGGCAGCAGCCGCCGGTTCCGCGGCACGGCCCTGCTGCGCACCGTGGACCCGTCGCAGTACGAGGGCGGGGAGTGGAGCGGGGACGGCAACTGCGTCCGGACGGCGCCGTACCGGCGTGGCCAGAAGAGGGTCGAGGGCTTCGAGCGTGATTTCCGCGCGCTGCAGGCGGAGGAGTTGGCGTCGGCGGCGAAGGCGGCGACGGACAGTGGCAGCAAGGTGAGGATGCTGCTGATGGACACGACGGAAGCCATGATCCTGCGTGCGGACGCGCACCCGAGCAAGTACCGGGGATGGACGCCGGAGAAGCACTTCACCCTGCACAATGACTGCGTGCACTGGTGCCTGCCCGGGGCCATTGATACTTGGAACGACATGCTGCTCCATATGTTGAAATGATCATCAATAGTTTGAAGAAGTACGTAATAATGTCAACCGAGTGTGGCTGTGTAAAGTGTACTATATGGTACGTAGTACGTACAATCGATCGCATGCAGGGTGCAAAATGTACGGTGGATGGATATATGGATACATACGAATATAAACAAGGATTGTAAGATTGATTGGATGGCTTAGCCTAAAAAATTTGTATATGAATAAGGGCATTGCTAGCGCCCGGACGTCTAGACGGACGACTGCGTCCGGACGCCCGCGCCTGCACTCCGTCTCCTCCTGCGCACCTGCATCCCGCGCCTGCCTACGCGGGGCCCGCACCGCTCGACCTGCCTGACTGCATGTGGGGAATCCCTGCTCGCGACTCCTCCGCTTCTCACGCGCATGCACGTGGCTAGTCAACTGAAGCAGGTCACTACAACAGGTGGCTACGCTAGCATCCAGTAGAGGGGGAGGGGGCGGTGGATGCCTAGCCGGCGCCGGGAGGAGGAGGAAGAGAGAAACCGAGGCGAAGGTGAGGCAACAAAAAAAGCAAAGACAGAGATGCAACACCCGATCTACTTTTGAAACATCTAGATGTAACACTTGCAACATACGTCTAAAGGCAGATGAAACACATGAAACATACATTTGAAACACTAGCTGCAACATCAGATCTACTTTTGAAACATCCATATGAAACACTTGCAACATACGTACGAAATAACTAAAACACTTAAAACATGCATATGAAACACTTATAAAAAACACCTGAAAACACTTCATATGTGTGAAAATATATGCAACCTCCAGATCAAAACGCTTGCAACATACGTCTAGAAACAGATGAAATAGTTTGAACAAACGCTAGCAACATGCCTCAAAAACTTTTGCAACATCCATATGAAACTATTGCAACATGCTTCTGAAACGTTTGAAACAATTGAAACGTACATTTGCAACATAGGTGGAGAGAGGTCTAGGCCGGTCTCGATTCCGGCCGACAAGGTGGGAGCCGACAGCGAGCAGCTGAATGCGAGAACCACCCAGCACCAGCACTAGCAGCGTGCGCAAGCACCACCACCACCAGCAGCGCTAACGGCACCGGGCTGGGCTCGGAGCGACGGCGGGGGATGAGGGGCGGGGAGCGCCATGGCGGGCGGCGTGGGGGAGAGCCACCGACCCATGCAATACCGCCGCGCCACCTCCATGGATCTCGCCAGGGTGGGGGAGAGGGCCACAGGATCCACGGGGTGGGTGAGGACACTGGGTGGGGGAGGGGCGCTGCCCGGGTGGCGGAAGGAGCCGCCAGGGTGGGGGAGGAGGACGCCGGGGTGGGGGAGCGCGCACGCCGGGGTGGTTGTGGGCACCGTCGCTGGCTAGGGAGGCAGCCATGGCCGCGTCGTCGTCGGGGTGGGCAGGGCGCGAGCGCGAAAGGGATAAGGATGGGTTGGAATGGCGCGTGCGAGAGTGAGCGGTGGGAGGCGTCTGTCCGTCCGGACATCATAATTGTATCATTATCGCATGAATAAATAGATTTCTATCCTAAAAATTTGTCTATGAATAATAAATCAATGGCCGCATATTTTCCTCGCAATCGTATTTAGTGTACCCCCTCCCATCTATCTCTTTTCCACCCACCACTGCCCCTAAATCCCCCCAATCCAAATGTTGAGTTTCTATAGTTGGATAAGTGTAGTAAATGCCATAATTAGCGTGTAAGTGGAACAATCATTGATCAGTGTGCAACTGCTTCAATTAATAGTATACTGGTCTTTTCTCTGTCATACTAATTTATCCTAATTAAACTTGCTAGAAATCTATTTATTTAGGGATAGAATGAGTATATATAATAAGCAAAGTTACAGGATCCGTTTTCATGGCTGATTCTATTCATGACTCTAGTCTTAGTCCATTGCTTGCACTAGCCAATTACATTAATATAAGACTCAATCCTATTTAAATGACATATATACTTCTGCAGCCCCCCTCAATCACAACTTACACAAGTTGAGATTGTTTCTAAATTTATGCAGCTTGTTAACCGATTGAGCTTTGGTAAACCCATTGGTCACTTGGTCATCGCTAGATATAATTCTGATATATCTAGCAGCTTCTGAGAAACATGCTCTCTTGCAAATTGATAATCTAAATCAATATGCTTGGAGTATCGGCCTTTGAAGCATGAAAACCATGTTGCTGAAGTTTGTGGCTCAGGGGCCTGTTTCAGTCCATATAGAGCGGCTTATCGAGCTTACACACATAATGTGGTAAGATTTTATCTTTCTACCCAGGGGGTTATCTCATGTAAACATCCTCCTTTAGAACACCATGCCAAACTGCGTTCTAAACATCTAGTTGGTGAATACTACAGGTAGTGATAGCACAAGCCTAAATAGTAGCAGCTTTCACAGTAGGGCTAAAAGTGTCTTCATAATCCAAACCAAACCTCTACTTAAACCGTTTAGCTACAAGTCTAGCTTTGTAGCCATCGATAGTACCATCTGCCTTCTTTGTTTCTTTATATACCAATTTGCAATCTATAATACTTTGTCCAGGCTGAGTAGAACAAGATGCCAAGTATTATTCCTTTTGAGAGCATCAAACTCTGTATTCATTGCACGCTGCCAATAATCAGACTGAAGAGCTTCACATAATGAATATGGCTCCTTTACTTCACTGCTCAAACCATATACCATACGGTCCCATCAGTATAAGTTTTTCGTTCGTGTATACCATCAGTATAAGTCTTTGGTTTTCTTATTTATCATATTTTAGCAAATTAAAGATCAAATAAATATATATTTCAACTATTACCTCTAAGTAGTAACAATAGATGATCATAGCCATTCGATCCGATTAAATGAACGACTCATAGTTATTTATCTGAGTACCCAGCAAAGTCCGGCACAGTGAAATAAAACGTGAATGGCGGTGTCTCACTCTCAGAGCCGTTACTGTCATCATTTGGTGCAGTATTACTTGCTTGTGGTAGCAGGTGCACAGTGCACTTGTCCTCACTCCTCAGATATCATCGATACATCTGGAAACTTTGGAAGCACATGCGCAATGAAGCTGTAAACATGCGCAATGCGCAAGGCCGCAAGTGCAGCAGGTTGCAAGCAAGCAGGTATGTCACTCGATATGTGTTGGCCCATGGATCTCCGGCACGGGTCAACCGATCGTTCACCGACGTCACCGACCACACACTATGGTAAGAGGTAGAAGAAAGGAGAGAGAACAGAGCGCGCACACACACAGCACAAGCACCAGTGTTGGTCGGAGCTCTGCAGAGGAGATGGCAAAACAGAAATCGCTCACTTTACTGAGTTGCCGTGGGAAGCTATAAATACAACTCTACCCATCTAATCCTAGTACACACCAGGCTGCCATGCTGCTACAGTGACTAGATGTGACAGCAGGGCTGACTTTGACACCTGCCCCTCTGTGGCTACAGTGCGGCAGGAGAGCCTTTTGACGTCTGCCCCTACTGCGGCTACAGTGCAGCAACAGGAGCCCTTTCGGCACCTGCCCCTGCTGCACGTTCAGACATGGGAGGGCAACAGATTACTTTATAATTCTTCCTCTAATCCTACTGCTAACCCTAGAACCTCCACCATGTCGATCATCTTATTCGGCTCCGTGAACCAAAGACGGCCGAGCGGCTTGGTGAGGACGTCCGCGAGTTGCCGACCAGTTTCGAAGAACTCGATGACGATCTGCCCTCCATCGACACAGTCCCTGAGGAAGTGGAACTTGATATCGATGTGCTTGCTCCAGTCGTGGAGAACCGGATTCTTCACGAGGGCGATGACGGGCTGGTTGTCCACCATCAGTGTTGGTGGGTGAGTTTCCACACCGGTCACCTCGCCCAGCAGCCAGCGCAGCCATATAGCTTGGCACGCCGCTGTGGCCGCCGCCACGTACTCTGTCTTGCACGTGGACAGCGCCACCACCTTCTATTTCAGCGACAGCCATGAGATTAGAGCCGACCTGAGAAAGACGAGCACGCCAGAGGTGCTTCGCCATCCGTCGATGTCCCCCGCCATGTCTGCATCGCTAAACACAGTGAGCTGCAGCCCACTTTCGCTGGTTTTGGAGAAGACGATCCCCCGATCCACCATCCCTTTGACGTAGCGCAGCAGTTAGTTCACCGTGGCCTAGTGATCCTCTTGGGGATCCTTCATAAAGTGGCTGACGTAGCCCATGGCGAACGCAATGTCCGGCCTCATGTGGACTAGGTAGCGCAGACCACCAATGATGCTCTGGTAGAGTGTTGCATCTACCTTCGCCGCGGTATTGGCCTTCGTCAGCTTCAACCGCTCCTCCATCGGAGTCACGCACGACTTGCAGTCAGCCATGCCTCTCCGCTCCAACAGCTTCGAGGCGTATGCACTCTGACCGAGCGTGAGTGCCTCCTTCCCATGTCTCACCTCGATGCCGATGTAGTAGGAGAGAGCGCCGAGATGGCTCATTCGAAAACGACCCACCATCTCACGCTTAAAGCTATCGATGTCCTTCGCACGCGTGCCGATGATGATCAAGTCGTCTGCAAACACGCCGACAATGAGCTCCTCCTTCCCCGTCACCACGTGTAGAGCGCGTGCTCGGTTGCGCACCGCGTGAACCCAAGCTCGCCCAACGTGGCATCAAGCTTGGCGTTCTATGCTCGCAGGGCCTACCGCAGCCCGTAGAGCGCCTTGCACAGTCGGAGCACCCTGTACTCCGCTCCCTTGACAGCGAAATCCAAAGGTTGCCTGACGAAGACCGTCTCCACCAGCTCGCCGTTAAGGAAGGCCAATTTTACATTCAGATGATGGACGCGCCAGTCCTTCGCTGCTGCCAAAGCCAGCAGTAGTCGGATAGACTCCATGCGCGCTACTAGCACAAAGACTTCCTCGAAGTCGATGCCCTCGTGCTGGACAAAGCCTCGGGCAACGAGGCATGCCTTGTGCTTGACAATGGTGCCAAACTCGTCCCGCTTGACCTTGTACACCCACTTCAGGCCGATCGGACGACATCCCGAA